CAGCTAAAAACTTTTTTTCGTTTTCAATTTTTTTGTTTAGTTTACATATATATTGATTATCGTGCATGCATGGTGGCATTTTGACTTTTTCAGGAACAATACGAGTTGAACAGATTAAGATCGATGTAAGAGATATGGATTCAGAAACAATCTAATTATTTCATGGCATGTTCGTTAAAATTAAGAAAAATATGTATCTATGTCCGTTGTTATACGATTATTTATTTAATCACCGGAACTAAAATGATTTTTTTAAAAAGTTAGATTGTACATAACTACATATTTTAGATTGTACATAACTACGTATATCTAGAACTCATCTTTTTCAAAATATATGATGTTTACCGTTTTTAGATAAATTTAAAATATATTTGATATTTTATAACTATTTGTATTCTGTAATTTTTTGTGATTGGTTGAATTGTATTTAAATGATATTATGTGGAAAAAAACATATCTCTTAATATTTGGGCATTTAACTAGAACTTCTTATATTTTGAAAAAAAAATTTGAAATCATTGTTTATGTATTATATCAAAGCAACATCTAGACATCTACAACTATTTGATGGTGTAATACCAAACAAGTTTGCATTTCATATTTATTACCCCTTAAATAAATTTTAATTTTAACAAACATTATCAACAAAAAAAATAGTTTTATAAAAATATTATTCCCACAAACTACGCATATTTTTACTTTAGGAAATCAAACAAAAGAAACCGAACAAACGAAGTAAATGTAGTAAAGTACAGAACATGTGAAAAGACTCGAACAGACAACATGGAAGAAAACTTAAATAGTGACAATAATAAGTGAATATAGCAATTATCGATATTTGACTAATTTGTTAAGTGTAAAAAGCGTAATTTTCTTTAATTTAATTTTCACTTTGTCAAAACAAATTTTAATTTATCTTTTTGGAAAGATTAAAATGTCATTTCTTAAAAGAATTGTATTAGTCGATCAAATTATATATGATCTCTTGCATAAGATCCGTATGTTTATAATAGTTATGTTTATAATAAAATTGTATTAGTCGATCAAATTGCCTTTTATTAACGATGCCAAAATACCCAAATGTGAAGTAGTTCATATGCACTGCATAGGGTAAGTATATGTGTTTTTTAACCATACCGCAATAAAATAATTTTTTGAATGGAAAGAAAAGACAATCAAGATGATAAAACGCACCACCTCACATTTTTCTGCCACTACTCACACCCCGGAACTCTCATATGTATCGTAGTGTGGACTAAATACTGGAGACATAAATTGGTGTAGTGGCACGTTTGAAATTGCTGACATTCGATTGTTAAGTTAAAACATGAGAGATGTGACTAAATACAAAAAATAATCGACAAACATAACAACGCCGGCTAAATGATTGATATTAGGTTAAACGCTATCACGAATCTATCGATGAATCAAGCTTGATGAATGATGCAGTGCTCCATACTACTATTGCATGTTCAAATACGGTCCAAAATTTCAAATATATTAATAAATTGACAAAAGAAATATATGATAACGAGAAGAATCTCGAGTATTCATACCAGTAACAGAAAACAGAATTGACATCTGCACATTGACCTTTTGTGATGTGTTGCAATACTCATGGAGGGAATAATAACCTTACATTCTATGAGTGAATGGTACAATTGAGAGTAAAAGAGAGGAAAAGTGTCAATGGTAGATATTAGAGTAAATCGGAGTAATTAGGAAAAGAGTAATTG